TCTCTTTCCCAGGACTTTCCCCTCCGCATGGAGGACCAAGATGGCCTGGTTTCAGCCTGAAGGATGGATAAACCTACCCCTTACCTGAATACCACATGCGTGGTGCTGTTCTTACTCAGCTACCTCTTTTTATAAACCTAACATAAATGCCATTCTCAGATGTAGACAGTTTTTGCCACTGCAATGGTAAATGGTCAGAAGTCTGTTTACTTTCAGGTTCTCTTTGCTCTCTCTCTCTGCCAGTCATGTCCAACTTTCCCTATCTCTCCCTTTCTCTTTTCTACATTTTGGCTTGTGCCCTGAAGAGTGCGACGCAGGCTGGGTCCCGGGAACCCCCCTCTAGGTTCCCTCTCAAAGGCTAGCCAAACTAGGCTTGATCTATTTGTTCAGGGTTTCTTTGCATTTTTTTTTCAGAAATTCATCATCTTGAGTTCGCCATCTTGGCCACATGGTGGGTTAAGGGTTTGGCCCCATGTGACCCTTAAACTCCCACCAAGCTTACTACTCCATCCAGCTATTCTAAGGTGTCTTGCTAACAAGTTGCTCTTTTCATAGGTCCTGGTAACTGAGGCCCAACTATCTGATGTGCTTTGTTAGCAAAGACGTCTTCACATTGTTGTCAAAATTTTAGGTTTTTGAGTTTTGCCTTTTTTGTTTTGTGTTATGTATTCTGATACTGACTACGTGACTCTAAAATATTGGGCATATCTGTGCTAAGATTCTCACATCTAGGAAGTTTTGTCATTCCAGAATATTTGTCGGTCAAGTCTTTTTTTTTTGGGGGGGGGGTCTGGTCGTGAGGCCTGAACTCTGGGCCTGGACGCTGTCCCTCAGCTCTTCAGCTCAAGGCTAGCACTCTACTATTAGAGCCACAGCACCACTTCCGGCTTTTTTCTTTTTGCTTATGTGGTGCTGAGGAATCGAACCCAGGGCCTCGTGCATGCAAGGCAAGCGTTCTACCACTGAGCCACCTTCCCAGCCCATGTTGGTCAATTCTTGATAAGAACCAGGATAAGCTCTACATATTCTACTTGATCTCCTTGTTGCTTTAATTGGAAATAATAAAGGGCTTTTGTGGCAAAGGTTTCGGTTCAAAGCCAGCCCATGCTGAAAAATCCCTAAGACTCAATCTCCCAACTAACCTGCAAAGAGCCAGGCTGGAAGCAGGGCTCAAGACTTATTTCTAACCAGCCAAACACTGGAGGTGCTATTGTAACTCAACGAGGTAGAGCACTAGCCTTGAGCAGAAGTGCTCAGGGACAGTGCCCAGGCCTTGAGTTCAAATCTCCTTGAATACCAACTGGGACAAGCCATCCCAGCAACGAGCACCTAGACTCAGCCAGTCTGGGGAACAAGGGACCATGGAGAGGAGTAAGAGGAGATGATGTCACATCAGCTACTTTGTGCCTGCCCTTTCAAAATTAACCAGAGCCGGAAGGTCAGTAGAAGTAAGAAGCCTGCCCATCCAATGTCTATACCTGTGTACCTATTAACTGAACAGGAATTTATATTCCTGCCTTTGTCACCGACTTCTCTACCTAGTAGCCAGATGTCAAAAGTAGCTAGGGACATTTCTACCAACATTTTCAGCCCCAAGTCCTTCCTCTTGCCATTTATTTGCTCTCTAGTATTTTTTTTTCCAGCCCCTCAATGCTCATGAGACTTCTCCAGACTTCATCTAAGGACTCACGCCACCAAGGGACAGCTGCTGCTCACTGCCTTCTCTGGGAGGGGACCAAATTCCAGCCTTTTACCCCTATTGTCGACGCCCCTTGTCAGCAGGAAGTAGCCAGAGAGAATCCGCACCCTATTTCATGATTATTAAAAGACTGGAATGTAAGGTCTGCTCCTGGATGGCTAGCAGACTCCACCCTCCTCACAGCAAAGTCTCCACCCAGTACCTGCGTTACCTAGGCCACTGGGACACCTGGAAGAGGTCACATCTGCATCCCCTGAGGTCACATCTGAATTTGATGTGGCCACACCTTTCTCTGCCCATACCCTAGATAAGGCCTAGCCCAGGCCCAGATGCCCTCTCTCTGCTCTTTTCTAGCTCTCTCTGCTCTCTGCTCTCTCCTCTCTCTCTCTGCTCTCTCTCTCTCTCTCTGTTCTTTTCTAGCTCTTCTCTCTCTCTTTCCCAGCTCTCTCTTTTTCCCAGCTCTCCCAGCTCTCTTTCCCAGGCCTTTCCCCACCGCGTGGAGGACCAAGATGGCCTGGTGCCAGCCGGAACAATGAATAAACCTACCCCTTACCTGAAAAAAAAATACTATCATATGAGGGGGTGGGGGGAGGAAATGGGAAGGGATGAGAAGGGGAAACCAAGGAGGAGGCAACAATGCTTGATAAGAAATGTACTCATTACCTTGCTCAGGTAATTGTAACCCTCTGTACGGTATTTTCACAATTAAAATAAAATACTATCACAGAACAGGAAAAAGAACTAAAATAACATATCACACAAATAATTCTGCATGAACAGCTATTTCCCTCCCCTCTCTTAGTGCCTCAGAAATATATGCTACAGAAAGTGGGATGCACAAAAAGAAAAGTTTTGAACAAAAAATTAGTTTGTGCCCTCAAATATGTATTTTAATGTTTTTGTTTCTTTCATGCATGTGTTTCTAACGCATTTATAAGATTATTTCTTTGTTGCTTTGTATGTCCCTCCCCCACAGTGTAACCCCCGCTTTCACTATATTTGATGTCAGTATAACATGTGGAGGAGACGGGGACAAACAAGTCGTTTAAGGATTCAGGTGGACCTGTTGCAACAATGAGAAGTACAAAATGTCATGTCAAAACCAGCTTTACAATGTCGGTGTGGTGGGGGGGTAGGGGGGGTATGATTGGGCGGGAGGGAGGGGGGAGGCTGGGAAGGGAGGTGAAGGGTAAACAAAGGAGGAGGCTGCAATGCTTGTAAGAAATGTATGCATTATCCTGCCCATGTAATTGTAACCCCTCTGTACAGTATGTTCTCAAATAAAATAAAATAAAATAAAATAAAAATTAGTTTGTGAACTTTCGTGTTGGCTTCAGCAATTCCTCCTTACTTTCCCAAGTGAGATCAAAACAGCAAGTATGAGCTGTCAATATGCCTTTAGAGCATATCATTATGTCCTTATTAATGCAGATTATTTCCTAAAATGCTACAATGCCAATAAATCATGTCCAACATATGTATCTTTACCAAGATTAATCTGGGTGTGACTATGGGGGGGCAGGTAACATCAGCCATCATTCTTTAATACTGACACAACAAGAAGCTCACAAGCTAACATTTTTCAACAACTATTATCATCCAAACCTTAGGACAGCCACTACAAACACAAAACAAAATATGAAATATTTTAATGCAAATACACCCTCCTATACCAAGATGCTTTGGGGTATTAATCTTTTTTTAATGAATGACCATTTCAATGTGATATTCAGCTAGTATATGACACAATTAACAGTAGGATCTATGTCACTGTTTTCTATGCCCTCAAGTAACCATACATCAACTAAGGAAATTAGAATAAAATGACTGCACCCCACTCTCAGATACTGGGCAATCTCCCAGCAAATATGTAAAGTTCTGCCTTGTGGATTCCCTTTCAAAATGCCCAATGAGACACAATATCATCAAGGAGGCGTTCAACAGGTATACAACCTGGGTCAGAGCCAGTGATCTAGTCACAAAAACAAAAGCTGCCAGCATGAAGAATGAGGTATCAACACAGTTACACACCATGAGAGGTGATTACCAGCTCTTCAAAAATAAAGGTTAAAAATAAAGAACTCTGATTAACAAAATAAACTGGCTTTGCATTTCACTTTTGTACAAAGCTGGGAACACTAAACAAGAAGATTGGTTAATCCATATCTGTTCCCTAGTAAATAGTCCAAAGTTCAGTCAGACAAACATGGAAACCTGGCAAGAGTCATTCAGATCCGTTCAGCAGGTGTTCTTGCCTGCTGTTTTTTAAGTATCCAATACCTTTGAGGGCTTATCACTGAACTATTATTTGTGAAGAACAACTGTTTCCCCAGAACGCATTCCTGGGGCATGAAGTCCTCACATACAAAAGGAGTGACCAGACTTAAGTCTTCCTAAAACGGTAGATAATACTACTAACAATAGGTTACTACACCTCAAATCCTGAACAGCTTGCCCCCAAAGTGTATTTCAGAGAAGGTAGCTACTTTAACATTACCAGGGATAGAATTCAGTTCCCTAATAAATAACTGCTACCTTGAAAAGAAAAATAAACTTACAAACTATCATGTTTTACCTAATCTAAGAGGCAATTCATTATTAAGATGCACCACGTACATTGCTAAAAAAAAATGCTGCTTGTTCAAGTACAACACATGCTTTGTATCACAGAAATTGTTTCTTTGATACTTATTGAAAGGGTGCTTCTAAAGATAAACAGATGTTCACCACACCAATTTTGTGTATACCTAAAGAAAAGGGAAAAGCAATTGGTTAAGTTATAACTTAATATTCTAAGTCCAACTCTTCTGAATCACTTTTTAAATGCAGTGGTTGCTTGTTCCCACACATGGTCCTTGGTGTCAAGAGTACTGAGATGCAGCATTTCCTGAAGAAGGGCTCCAACCCTGTCTTCCACTGAATGGAAGCAAGAAGCTTTGGATAAAATACTAATACCGTAATGGCAATCCTGCTTGATGCTGCATTGGTCACACCAGCTTTCTGTTGCTTTCAATTTTGCTTCATGGATTCCAAGGGCTTTGGCAATTTCTCCTGCCTTCAGTTGCATCATTTGGCCTGTGATAGGCATTCCCTTTATACCTGCCTCATTGCCAAAACATGGTACAGCTTCATTTATTTGTGGGGATCTTTCTTTTAGGTCCTGTAATGCATTTTCTTGTTGTTGCCTCGTAAGAAAATAAGGAATGTTGGTCATTCCTCCAACGATGAATATTTGCTTCGCTAATATCAAATGTACACCCTGCTGTTGCATTTGTATGCATTTCCATGCTGAATCATAGTGTAGGCATTTCTAAACGCCTTTGATGACAAGCACACACACACAGGTGAAGGCGATGACAATGGGACAAGCTGTAACTTCACGCATGCATGGCTAGGAAATAACATGAACCACCACTGATAGTCATGAAATGCATCCCAAATTCAGACAAATTACAATGTCAGCAAAACAGTACATTTTCAGTCCAATAAAATGTTTCTTCAAGCTTGAAATGTTTACCAGATTCATCAGTGTAAAAAAAAAAGAAGAGATAGCCCAAGAGATAAAGGAACAACTGTGTTAAGTAGAGAGCTAGGGAAGCAAAATATTCTTAAGATGAAATTTTCAGGGTCTAACTTGTTTCAATTCCCTTTATTTCTATATGGCTTATATGTAAATCTGTTTTTGAACTGGACATAAAATCCAAGTAGAAATGCTGTTCAGTCATTTAGTAAATTTCAAAGTCACATCACTGAAGACAGAGGTTTATAACTGCCTTTTATCATTTACTCAGGAATAGAGGCCCATGTCTGGGGTTAGTGGCCTTCATCAGCAGGTGCCCGGCGCTGACGAGCAGATCGTAACCTGTGTGCAGTGGCTGATGGATCTTCTTCAGTTTCAGACCCTGAAGGCTCATGATCTCCCTCCTGGGACCCTGTATCTCCCGCCAGTTCTCGAAGAAACTTGAATTTAGATAAAAAATAGATGCCATGCAAATTACCAACCGCACACCATCAGCAGCAGGATGATCAGCAGCGTGGCCACGAACACCAGCAGAGTCAGCCCCACGTTGTGCCACATCTTGGGCGCGGCGATGGCCTCCGGGGGGCAGGCGCGGGACTCCTGAAATCCCTTTGTACAACTACTTACAATTTAAAAAAATTAAATGGAATAAACCTTTTGATATTGTTTTAATATAGAAAAGTGGGTTAGGAGAGAGAGTGAGGTTGATCGGGATACATTGTACACATGTGTACAAATGGCATAATAAAACCTTCCTTGTACAACTGCTAAAAAATAAATATTACAATGAAATCTCCCTTATACAACTAATGGCTGCTAAAAATAAATAAATACCCTAAGGTTATGGAAGTAAAATTTGCGCTAAGAGGGAGGTAGAAGAAGAGAAAAGGGGAAAAGAGAATAAGAAAGAGCAATAGAGAGGATGATTAGGTTCCAAGTACATTACATGTATGTATGGAAATGTCAGAGTAAAAGCCTTTACTATATGCAATTCAACAAGTCAGATTATGAGTACAATGGATTTTCACCACTTAAAGATCCTATTTACTTATTTTACTGACATATATTAAATTCAAGTTGAGAGCTGCACCCAATGGAATGACTCAAAACAATTAAAAATACACAGATATATGCACAGATATATGGACAATAATGATGAATCAGCTCTGTGGTATTTATTCTCTCATTGCCTCCTCATGAGAATCCCATAACATAAGACAGGATTACCTTTTGATCTCCAGATGGAGCCATGAATTTATATCCAAGCTAAATAAGTTGAGTGCCAGCAAGACACAATGAACAAAATACTGTATGATGGTCACATTATCTGGCTGTGAATCCTTTACTCAAACTGCTGTAAAAGCTGCTGGGTGGTTCAAATAGGGTATTAGACAGGCATGTGCTTTGAGATGTAGACAGTGCTCTGTCCCTAATCTGGAACTAATAATAATGCTTTAAGTTCAAAAACTGGCCTTCCTTTTATGTGTCTCTACTAAGCAACACTCTAGAATTCATAGTTGGTCTTTCCATTCACCCACCCAAGGAAAGGAAAAAATGCAGTCATAACAAGACAAAATAAATATTTATTTATTTAAAATCAAAAAAGCATATCTTCAATAGGACTAAAATATCCTTTTTTTATGATTTCTTGAATGTAAAGTCTCATACACACAACACTGAGAACAAGTCTGTAGATTATAATTTACAATGATCAGGCATATTCAATGAGAACAGAGACACAATTCTGTTTGGAACCAAGATCACAGTTAAAAAAATATTGGAAATCAATGGCACAAATCATGTACATCCAGATGAGGGCCATTTCTATGGGCCCCACCCAGAGCAAAAAGACTCAGTTTACCAGGCCCTGAGGAGGGAAAGAAACATCAATAATACTGTATTCTCTTGGACAGGCACTAGCTTAGGAGCTTAATGACTTCACAGTACAACCTGGAATACATTCTCCCCATCCCAGGGAAGATAGAAGCACCCTTATTATTCCAGATACATGATATAATATCTAGAATAATTAATTCTTCTTGAGGAAAGGGATAACTGAAACAGCACTGATAGCCAAAAATACCCTGAGCATGGGAGGGCCCATCCCTGGATAACACCTTCCCTTAAATTACTGAAATGTGAATCATGGGATTTTACTGGATTACTGCGATGAGTATATATGTACGTGTATGTGTGTGGCTTGAATTTTAGACTAGTTGTAAGGATGATAGTAACAATCCCAACCATCAGTCACCCAAGCAAAAAGGCCCTAGTCCTGGCATGTACCAACCACAAAAACAGACTCAAAGTTCCTAAATAACCAGGCTAAAATTAGTCAGGACACTTTGCCTTACATGCTTTAATCTGACTTCCTCAATGATAATGAACAAGTCTAGAGTCATTTCAGAGCTCTAAGCCTCATGTATGGAATGAAGGAGTTGGTCCTTTTGACCAGGATGTTTTCAGACTTATTGCTTCTCTTTACTCTAGTAAACCTACCTAGGTTTACACCTAGGAAGTTAAAAGCCATTGAGGAAATGCCATTATTGGGAAAAATAGCTGGTACCAAAATGGTCTTGCCAACAAATTCCATCCAGATTAAAGAAAACAGCTCTCCATAACATGTAAAATTGATTTCTATTTGCCTAACTTCACAGCTTTTGTCTCAGTGGAAGACAGGGCTATACGGCTTTCTCCACTAATACCTAAGTCAAAGCAATTCTGGAATTCCCATCCATAAGGTACTACACAGCTCCACACATCCAGTGGCATCCCTTCAAAGCAGAACATCTGTTCAGGATAAAAGAACAGCAACAACTCCAGCTGTGAATGTTGATTTGTAGAATCGTCAGGCTACAAAGATTTTTAAACTCATCCAATCTAGGCCCAGATGGCTCACACCAATAATCCTAGCTACTCAGGAGGCTGAGACGTGAGGATCAATGTCTAAAGCCAGCTTAGGCAGGAAAGTCTGTGAAACTCTTATCTCCAAATTAACCATGAAAGAGCTGGAAGTGGAACTGTGGCTCAAGTGATAGAACAAAAGAAAAAATTCAAGAACAGCACTCTAGCTCTGAGATCAAGCCCCAGGATGTGACTGTACCTACATACACGCCCACATACACACGCGCAGAGACACACAAAATCATCCAATTACCTTCTTCAGTATCTTATAAATCTTCCATAAGAGCTCAACCAACTTCTGCTTAAACATCTCCAACGGCAGCAAAGGACTAAATGTAGCAAAAATCTTTCTCTAGCTTTTACTAGTTCTATCCATCCAGCACACATCTGCTCCGCTTAACCCTATGACAGCCCCCTTAAATCTTCCTCCTCCAGAGATATATGCCACATCTTTTTTCTCCTGCCTATACCTGAATGTGGTCTGACCATCATACGTAGAGTGTAAGAGGAAAAGCAGGGGGTACTGAAGACTGTGTAGTTATCACCCTTGAACTGTCACATCCTTCTCTCCAGCTTGACTAGCCAAAGGCTAAGTTTCTACTCATCCAGTGAAGCTGATAGGCAGACAGCATAACTATTTGGCCCAAGGTGGACAGACAGGCTTGGAATCAGCTTGCTTTAAGTCAGATTAACTCACTAATTGCCAAGAGCCAATTTATTTTTGTATCATTTAAAATTTTAAATTTGTTGGGACTATCTTTATAATCCTGCCTCAAACATTTCCACATGATTCTTTCTTTCACTAGATACCAAAGGACAGTGAATTCCATTGCTGCTGTTTTTGTCTCTTGTCATCTGGAAAATTTCTTCCACCTCCACTTTACCCCTGTCCTAAAACCAACACAGGAACTTCAGAAAAAAGAAAATTCAAGGATGAGGATCTAAAATAAATCCAAAGCTTTTGGTAGCCCTTCCCTTTAGCTTCGAAATAAACCCACAGTTAACAAAAATAATGTGAGAACATTTCAGATATTTTGCTAAATTCCCCCATACTGGTATATGCTCTGAAATTTAAGACCATACAAATAGAGTAGCAGCTATTTCTGTCTCAGATGAAGCCACAGCCACAGTTCCAGGCACAAACTGGCAAGACCAGAGAAGGAAGGAGCCAAGCCCTTTCACCCAGATAACAGTCTATCCCCTTCAGACTTTTGTGTGTATGAAGAAAAGCTTATTGTCCTAGATCTGGCCACCCGGAGACAAATTACATAATACATCCAGCCCAAAAGCTTCAAATCTATTCCTCGACTTTTAAAAATCACCCACTTCATTCGAAGTAATTTTCATTGAAACTGAAATGTCTTTTCTATACTAAAAATAAAAACCCTGTGTTGATTACTCAACTAAAAACATCCTATTGGAGACAGTTTGAGCCTTGGGTTTCACTTCAAGGATGGTTTCATTTCCTGAAAGTTTCAGGAGGCATTTCCATATCTCCCTTCCTCCCCAAGATGTCTGGCTTAGCTCAGTCTCTTACACATTCAGAAATAGATTCAAACATCTCCCACACAGCTAGGGAGGTAGCTCATTGGTATAGCACTAGCCTAACATAGGCAAGGCCTTGGGTTCCATCACCAGGAACAAAAAGAAAAAAGAAAAATATTGTCTACAAATTCAGGTGACCCAGCCATCTAGGAGAGATGAAGAAATCTGTGGGTAGGTTTAAGTTGACAAGAAGTTGGCAGGAGCTATGTTCAAGTCCCTCCCTTCCCAAGAATCTGTCTCTTCCAGCCAAACCAAATCAAACCAAGGTTCTCACTCAGGACTCCAGGAGAGTCCCAGGCTCAGGGACGCTGGCCTGTGTGTTCACACTGTGCTTGGAATCAAAGATGTTTCCCTTTCCAAAATGGACAGCTGCCGCTCAGTGCAGCCACCTGCTCAGCAGGATGGGGTTTTCTGCTTCTAGTTCAGCACTGTGCACAAGAACCAAGTTCAAGTCTCAGCCCACAATCATACCCACTTCTATACTGAGGTTTCTGGAAATTCATCTATTTCCTCAAATGCATTCAGGGTGGTTTTGCTGTTGCTCCTGGAAGAATCTTGGATTTTGTTGAAATCTACTTTAAAAAAAAAGAAAAGAAAAGAAAAATTGCTTAGATATGGATCACTCTGCATGCCATGTTTCCAAAGCATATGGCAATTTGTGTGTGTTTGTGTATATGTGGTGGTGCTGGTAAGTGAACCAAGGCCTGACAGCACAATAAGCATGTACTCTACCGCTGTGCTACACCTCCAGCCCCCCACCACCTAATTTGTAAAAGTTGTTCCAACTAGGGCTAAAAACAATGTTAGAGCTGATAGGGACCAGTGAACCAATTTAATTCAAACTCCTTGCCCGACCCATATGCCCCACCCTATTTTACAACAGGGCCCTCAGACTTGATTTGCACAATATCTCATAGTGGCAATGATACCTGTTCGTCGTATGGGCCCGGGATCTTCATTAAGGAAGGAGACATGTGTTTTCCATTCAGTCCACTTCACCTCATTGATCCTGCCAGTGTGGTAATTACCTCATTACTTCACAATCACACTTTATTGAATGCAAACAGAAGACACTATGCTCTGGATATCCTTCTGTGTATCCCAGGGATAAGAACACTCTTGACCCTCATGGTCAAGCATAATAAAGGGTTTAATACCTGCCCAAGTCTCCATTTTCCCAGGCCTCAAGGAATGAGTTCTCCTCCAAGAGTAGGGGCCCAGGAAATCTATAAGTTACTCGGAGAGAGATCTCCTGACAGACCACTGTGTCTGGCTGGTAAGAAAAAGCTCATGAGGAAGACAAGACAAAGAGGGACAAAGGGCCTGGGTTGAGAAGAAGCAAAGGTTAAATGTAGGTTAGCTCAGGTTGAGGGTGCAATGAAATAAGGTGGCTATGGATCTGATCCCAGGACAGCTGGCATTGCCTATCATGTTGGATTACAGCTGAAGACATTGGTGTGACTTATATTCACATTCAGAAACCCACTTTAGAGAGCAAGTGTCCAAATCTGTCACTCTTGTTAATGTACAGATTACAGGTTGAAGTGATGGTTTCCAGAGGTGGGAATTGTAGTTAGAGAAAGAAGTAGGCTGAGAACAATTATACTCAAAATTAAACATCTCAGCTAGGTGCCAGTGGCTCATGCCTATAATCCTAGCTACCCAGGAGGCTAAGGGTTTAAAGCCAGCCCATACAGGAAAATTCAAGTGACTTCTATCTCCAATTGAACCACCAAAATGCTAGAGGTAAAGCAGTGGCTCAAGTGGTAGAGCACCAGCTTCGAGCAAAAGAGCCAAGTGAGAGTTGTAGGGCCCTGAGTTCAAGCCCTGGTACTGACACAAAATGAATGAATGAATTGATTGATTGATTAATTAATTAATAACATCTGAAGAGCCAGGCAGTCATGTGGGGTATAGGGACAACTGCACTTTTCAGAAAAGGTGGTCATAGGATGTGGAAGAATTTTTTTAATGGAAAGGTTTGAGATGTGTGGAAAGCCATCTCATCCTCCACTTGGCAGTGATAAATGTGCCCAGATCCTATGATGTCACACCCATCCATCAGAGCAGACAGAAAGGCAGACCCTCAGGCTGGTGAATCTTTTCTAAGTCAGATACTAAACAGAGAAGGTCATGAAGGCACCTCCAAGATGGCAGAGAAAGAGTATCTGATGGCAGAAACCTCTTTCCCTTACCCTCCTGAGCTTAGAAACCCTAGCCCCAGGTCCATATTTACATGGAGAGTTCTGTCTATAAGGATGCCATAAGAAACAGTTGTGGGGGGGCTGGGAAGTTGGCTCAGTGGTAGAGCGCTTGCCTCACATGCATGAGGCCCTGGATTTGATTCCTCGGCACCACATAAGCAGAAAAAAAAGCCAGAAGTGACGCTGTGGCTCAAGTGGTAGAGTGCTACCCTTGAGCTGAAGAGCTGAGGGACAGTGCCCAGGCCAAGAGTTCAGGCCCCACAACTGGACCCCCCCCCAAAAAAAGAAAAAGAAACAGTTGTGGGGTTATAGAAAGCAAGTGAAAGTCATGTTTCTCCAATATCCTGACTTGTCCCCTTCTACCCACCCCAAAGACCACCACCCAAGGATCCTCCTTCTTTGTTACCGAAGACACAGCCGGAAGTCTTCCTCAGCTACTTTGCACAGCTCTCCCATCCGGAATCTGCTCCTCAGCCATTCTGGTAACATTTTCTCAAACTCCAGGATTGTCCTGGCTCTCTGAAGACAGAAACAAGACTAAGTTGGTTGCTCAGAGCCAACCCCAAGAACATGACTCTGTAGGAGTGTTCAAACACACACACACACACACACACACACACACACACACACACACACACAGCCCCTTCCAGCCTCTCTGATTGTTTAATGTGTTTAATGCGTAAGTTCTGGAAGATTTAGCTAATGTATAAAATTCAAAAATGGGCTGGGAGTCTGGCTTAGTGGCAGAGTGCTTGCCTAGCATGCATGAGGCCCTGGGTTCAATTCCTTGGTACCACATAATCAAAAAATGAATAAAATTAATTCAAAATACAAAAATGAAAAAACTGAACTGTTAGGGAACTATCCAAAATACTTTAAAGCACAGCATAGATAAACTTCTCTCATGGTTCAGGAGCCTCCTAACTGAGCTGTTAGGATCCTAGAATCCCAGGTGCGGTGAAGTTCAGATGTCACACTGTCCCACCTACCCCACAGACTGGAGTTCCTCGCAATGTGTCCAATCTCTTTTGAGCATTATCCACAATCCAATTAAGAAGATCTTAATTCATAGAAGCTCTTGGTGTCAAAGCTTCTTTTACCCTGTGGTTTTCCAAAGTTCTGGGGCTACAGGAGGGGCTGCTCCCTCATTGACAGGTAGCTCTGACACTATCTTAAGGAACCCTCTAGCTCTCTAAACACAGCCTCCAATTCTCTCCCACTCCCATCCAGAGATGGTCTCTGAACCCTGGCGATTAATGATGTCAGCAGGAGTTGTCACCTTCCTTGTCCTAGACCTCATACCCCTCAATACTCAATAGTGGCATGTTTCCACAAACACATATCATCACACTGTCAACAGTGAGTAGAGAGCATCGCCCTCTGAAAGACAAAGCTGCTCTCATATATGCTACTTATGCAGCCTCACTTCCTACACATGTTACCCACAGATAGTGCACTCAAAGCTTTCTAAATCTAGCTTATGTCAATTCCAAGGCCCTGCCTCAGACCCACCAGTGCTGACTTTTTGTTGTTGTCAACAACTATATGATTCTGTGGGAAGTCTTTACACTAAGGTCTCTGCCCAGCTCACCTGAAGACGCCAGATGCGCTCACTCTCCTTGGAGACATTCTCCACAGTCTCCCCCATCAGCGCGATGAGCATGTTGAGGAGGAGGACGAAGGTGAGGATGACATAGGTGATGAGCAGAAACAGAAAGAGGATAGGGTAGGTGGAGTTCTGCTGGATGTTCAGGTCACCCAGGCCTATGGTGAGCTTGAAGAGTTCCAGCACGGCGTCACTGAAGCTGCCATAGGAACTGCAATCCGTTTTGTCCTTGGAGCATTTCTCAATCAGTGAGGCCAGAGCTGGAGGACATATAGAATATTCTCTTGGCCTCTCTGCCTGGATGATTATCAACAAGCTTGCATAGTCCCCAGAGTTGGCCTGCAGCCACCCTACTAGTCTTAGCCTCATCTCCAACCTCATGTTCCCTGGAAGTCTCATTAGGATAAAGCAGAAAGCCCCTCCCACCTAGCAAAACACATCTTCTCCTCTCCCACCTCTACCTCAGCATGCAGCACTTGCTCACAAGAGGAGTTGCCAATTATGAGCTACTCCAAATACAAGTAAGAACACAATGTACACGAATAAGAACTTCAGAACTTCATCCAACAGGACTTAGTGCTCCAGATTTCCTGAGGCCTGGATCACCTCCACCAGTGCTGTGAGACCTTGAATTTCCTCCTGATGCTGTTGTGAGCTTTCTGCAAGGAAGACCCCAGCTCACTCTGTTCTTTGCAAGACAACATAAATAGTTGTTTCTGGGTAAATGAGTAGGGAAGCCTAATGCTTGAGTTAATGCATGGATAAAAAAATGAGTACCTGGAGGATCAAATAAATTTGGACCCAGAGAAGGTACCAGGGAACAGCTGCCTAATTTTGAATGCTAATAGTGACTGGTAGGATGCAGGGGGAAGGAGAAGAAGGAGGAGAGGAGGAGGAAGAAGAAGAGGAAGAAAGTTAGGTGGGGTGGCTCATCCCTGAGATCTTAGCTACTTGGGAGATAGAGGTTGGGAGAATCATAGTTTGCCTAAGCCAGGCAAAAAAAAGTTCACAAGATCTCAATAAAAAAAAAAAAAAAAGTGGGCATAGCCAGGCACTGGTGGCTCATACTTATAACCCTAGCCACTCAGGAGGATGAGATCTGAAGATCAAGGTTCAAGGCCAAACTGGGCATAAAAGTCTGCAAGACTTTTATCTCCAATTAACCACCAAAAAGTCAGAAGTGGGGCTTCTTCAAAAAATGCTAAGTGAAGCTAGGCACCAGTGGCTCACGCCTGTCATCCTAGCTACTCAGGAAGCTGAGATCTGAGGATCACAGTTCAAAGCAAGCCCGGGCAAGAAAGTCTGTGAGACTCTTATATCTCCAATAAACCACTCAGAAAACTGGAAGTGGCACTGTGGTTCAAGTGGTAGAGCGCTCGCCTTGAGCTGAAGAGCTGAGGGACAGAACCCAGGTCCAGAGTTCAAACCCCATGACAGACAAAAAAAAATGCTAAGTGAGAGTGGGAGGCCCTGGGTTCAAACCTCAGTACCAGCACATGCACAGTTGGGCACAGTAATGTATGTCATGTATGTATATCATCCCAGCTATTGGGTACATGTAAATAAGAGACTCACCATCCAGTCTAGTCCAGACATAAATATGCAACCATATTAAAAGAAAGGGGAAGAGGAGGAGGTAGAGCAGCAAAAAGGGACTGAATCCTTTGCAAATGCAAGGCCCTAAATTCAACTTCTACTAGTTGCTTTTTAACAAGAGATAAAGGCCCAAAGGAAGTTATCTCCATGTATTACTTGGCTCCTATTCTTGAATACTTTCAGTTAAATTTCTGTGAACCTTTAGTTTCTCCATCTGTGAAATGGGACAGGAAACATCTGCCAAGTCCATCTTAGTTCATAAGAGTGACAGGAGGCCATGGATTTAATCATACGAGGCAGATCAAAATGTAGACTGAAAAAGCGACAGGTCTGGGACTATGTCTCAGTTCGTTTGGGATCGATGATAAAAACCCCCACTAGATCACTGAGAGAAGTGTGAAGATCCTGCTTGGAAAGCAGGGATCTGGCAGGTATTACACTACTGGTGGTCGTCATTGTTGCTGAGACTACTTGACTTTGACATTTGCATATAGTGCTTTGGCAAATGCAGGAAGCTACTAGTATTTAAGAATCAATTACCTACTCCAAATCCAAGTAAGAACACAATGTATACAAATAAGAACTTCAGAACATCATGCAAAATGACCTGCAAAGAAATAAGCACAATTTGAGTGTGAGGTATGTGCACTACCCTCTCCCAGCCTCCACCCTAACCCTGCCACAACTCAGGACATGACCACCCCCTATGGAGAATCCTCCTGATGTTCCCATGCTTGGTTCTGTGCACCACTTTTTCTAGAAAGCCTTGTCGTCTCACTTTAGTCTCCAATTCTGGCCTCCCTCTTGGAACAGCTTCTCTGCTTCACTCTGTGCCTGTTTCTATGGGTCTCACACCTGGGCCTCATCCTTCCTGGGTAGAGTGTCATGCACATACCCATATCAGTGATCATAGATGATTGTTAAATTATCATGAGTTTTGTGAGCTGATTGTTCATCTCAGCCATTATTAAAACCAAAATAAAACCTTCAGGTATCAGACGAATAAGCTCCTGGGATCCAACACACAGTATAATGACTGTATTCATTATATGACATCCTAAGTGTATACTTGAGATGTGCCAAGACCATAGCTCTTAAACTCAAACATATATAATTAAATAAATTATACTGAAAGCAAAGATTACAGATATTTAAAAGTGATCATTGCCCAGCTATTGCATTTTTACAGTTATCTATTGTTTTGAAATGATTTAAATAGATTATAGCCACCCCATTGAAGACTGGGCAATATACGCTGCTGTGCATCTCCTCTCAACTTTGTGCTCAGTGACATAACATCAGCAGCTGCCCACCTACCATGGTAGAAATGCTCACATCATGGAAATTGATAAATACTACAAGTCAGAGATTTATTCCTTTTGTTTTTCTTTGTCATTGTTTTTATGTACCAGTACTGGGGTTTAAACTCAGGATTGTTCCTTCACTTTTTGCTCAAGGCTCAAACCACAGCTTTACTTCTGCTTTTTTCTTTTGGTAGTTAATGGGAGATAATAGTTTCACAGGCTTTTCCTGCCCAGGTTGGCTTCAAATTGTGATCCTCAGATCTCAGCCTCCTAACCAGATAGGATTACAGGTAAGCCACCAGCACCCAGACTCTACTCTAAATTTAAGGTGGTAATGCAGATGAAGGCAGATTAAATTTTAAAATATTTCCTGCTATCTACAGACATCCCATTATGAATAGCACATAGTATTAATGAGATATTCTTCCAGTATTTCCAAACAATTACCCAATTCAGCAAAGAAATTGCTCACATTGTTGTCAACAGTGAAGTTCAAAAGTAAGCCTTCATTGTTTCATTTTCAATTATTGCTTATAAATAAAATATCAACCGGTACTTGGGCCAGTAGGGAACAATAATCATTTGTCAATTATAACTCTAAGTTGGGAACAGACAAAAGAATTCAATGAAAAGCAACAAATTATTCTTTGCAGGGGCTGGGAAGGTGGCTCAGTGGTAGAGTGCTTGCCTTGCATGCATGGGGCCCTGGGTTCAATTCCTCAGCACCACATAAACAGAAAAAGGTGGAAGTGACGCTGTGGCTCAAGTGGTAGAGTGCTGGCCTTGAGCTGAAGAGCTGAGGGACAGCGCCCAGGCCCAGAGTTCAAGCCCCACAACAACAAAAAAAATTATTCTTTGCAGCTCAACTGGCTATGTGGAATTTAAAATAAAATATATTGCATAATTTATTATTTGTACATCCCCTGTTGCAATCCTTTATATAGTAAAATTTATAATAATGCATGTATATAAACACACATATATAGTCTGTATACAGACATATACACACATATATATATAAAAATACATACACATATCTCCAGAGTTAAATTGTTAACTATTTTTCCAGCACACCACTGCCAAGGGATAAGAATATTTCCAAACAATTGTTTGGAAATGCTCTCACCCAAATCAGGTCACTTCTCAATTTCTAAAGGGCCCAGGCATTTTAAGGTCTGGAGACAAAACCAAAGGGAGAATGTGACATTTAGGAAAAAGAACTACCTCTTGTTATTTCCCTTTCCCTCCGAAAAATAGAAGCCCTCTGAAAGCCCACCCAACCACACAGCTACCCACACACCTTCTGGATCATGACGCTGTACATGCCCATGGACTGGAAGCCACGTGTGTAGTAGAGCATGTTCGCCCAGCCCAGGGCCATGGCCAGCACGAGGCAGGCAAGGTACTCTTTGTAGGCAAACAAGTACAAGAAGACAGAGAGTATCACAAGCACAGCTTGGACAAAACTGTTCAGGAGACACAGGAGACAAGGGCCTTACTTACTTCTCTGTAGCAAGGCACAGGTATTTGACTCCCCAAACCTTAACCCCCTTGATCCCTCTGGTGACTGTTGACACACAAAGGCTACCTCCAGTTCATTCAACTGCTTCTGAACTCCAGTAGTATAGACAATATTGCCAGATGCAAATCAGGGCCAGTGGTGAGCTCATAAGGACTTTAAAAAGAAAAATATAAATCCCCAAGTCTCCAGCAGGTTCTGGGGGTAGCCCACATAGCCATATGGCTTTTAAATCACCTGAAGATTTATGAATCCCACGCAGAATGTAAACCACTGAGGATACATTGAATGACCCAAAGTTTCCAACATCAATACTTATGATCATGATACCTCGTTCTTATATTTTATAAGAGAAAAGTCACAATGCAAATACTATTTGGTTCTAGTTATATGAAGTTCTCAGAGTAGTCAAACCCATATAGATAAAAAGTAGCGTAGTGATTGCCAACAGGGAGAAGAGGAGATGGAGAATTGTTTCCTGGGCAGAGTTTTAGTCTGGGAGATGAAAAGCATCCTGCTGGCTGGTTGCACAGCAATGTGACCACACTTCACAGACTTTAGCTAAGCACGTACAAATGGTCTGTGAAGCTGGGCACCGTGGCACACACCTGTCACCCCAGCTATACATGAAGCTTAAATAGAAGGACTATGGCCCAGGGTGACCTGGGCAAAAAGCAAAACCTTATTCAAAATAAATAAATAAATACAAGAAAAAGAGCTGGAGAAGTGGCTCAAGTGGGACAGCATCTGCCCGACAAGCACAAGTTCAAATACCAGTAACCACCAAAAAGAGAAAAAGTGGCCTAAATCATAACTTTTATGTTACATATACTTTAGTACAATTATACATTATCCATGTGTAAATATATGATATATATACAATACAATATGAACCTGAAAGCTGTGGCACATCCTTGTCATCTCAGTCATGTGGGAAATGTATCAATATTAATATATCAATAAATACAAGTATTGTTAATCTACTAGTTAATATTATTCATTAATTATTGGTTAATTTATATTACTATTCAATTGATTGTTGGTTGTTGTTAAGTGTTAATATTAATGTAATAATGTTAATGATATTGATATTAATGTTGTTTATTATATTTACTTTTTATTTATATAAAATATATGCAGAAAATATAAATATATATTGTCCACATAACTGAGGGATAGATAGACAGACAATTACATCTGACTATAGCCCAGCTTGGCCTTAAACTCATTATACAGACCTGGCTATCCTTAGACTCAGGATCCTTCTATCTCAGCTTCCCAAGAACTGAGTTACAGGCATGTACTACCATTTCTGACTACTGCAATTCTGTGTTTTAAAGTATGATTTGTAGCAAACATACAATATTAAAATGTAAAACACATGAAGAGAAGTGGGGGAGAATGCAGTCAAAATTCAAAGTATATCCTATGAAGGTAAGAAAAGTGAGGGAAGGGATGGGTTGGGAGGGATGGGTAAGAAAGAGATGACATCCAGCAAGATACGTTGTACCCATAAACTGTTTTGTTCAATGGCAACAAAGATAATAAAAATACCTTTTAAAAACATTCAAAAATAGGGGCTGGGAAAGTGGCTCAGTGGTAGAGTGCTTGCCTTGCATGCATGAGGCCCTTGGTTCAATTCCTCAGCACCACATAAGCAGAAAAAGCCGGAAGTGGGGCTGAGGCTCAGGTGGTAGAGCGCTGGTCTGCAGCTGAAGAGCTGGAAGACAGTGCTCAGGCCGAGTTCAGGCCCCACAACCGACAAAAAAATCTAAAATAATAAAATAAAATATATTTCTGTGATGATTTATCTTGAATATCAACGTGCTTGGATTTAAAAATGCCTAGTTGGAAGAAATAGTTCTATTGTCAAAGGTTATAGAATTCACAAACTTTAAAACCATGATGATGACAATTTGCCTTGTGAAAGTTAAAATGTGATAGTGACTTTTAACTAAGTATAACTATCCCACAATGCTGTAAAGTTTGTGAAATTTATGTAATCACTTAATCTCAATAAAAAAGCATTTAAGAAACAAATAAAAATGCCTAGTTGATCAGTAAAACAACACATTTCTGGGTATGTCTGTAAAGATATTTCCCAAGGCAGTTGACATATGGAAAAGGAACTGAAGGGGGAAGTCCCGCCCTGAATGTGGGCACTACCATCCATCCAATAGGCTCAAGCCTGATGGAACAAAGACAAAAGAAGAAACCTATTCTCTCATATTCTCTCTCTCTCTCTCTCCCTCTCTCTCTCTCCCCCCTCATCCTCTTTCTTCTTCTCTCTCTCCACAATGAGGTGAGCAACTTTACTCCTCCATAGTCTTCCACCATGATGTTCTGCCTCACCATAGCTCAGAAACCACAGAGCCAGTCAATTATGTCCTGAAACCATGAGTCCCCCAAAATCTTTTCTCCTTTAAGTTGATTTTCTCAGGTGTTGCCACAGTTGACACAACTCCCAAACAGTGAATATATTTCCAGTTTTGCAAACATTGGCTTAAAACACTCTCTTGCATATAACAGCAAGACATTTCCACAATTATAAAATATCCAATCAAAATTAGGCCACAAGCAAGCTTGTTTTACTGGTACAGTGAAGAGCCAACATCTGCTTGATCTGCTGCATTTAAGACTGAAAAAAGTAAGGATGTCTCCACTTTCCTCCACACTAACAAAAAGAAAAAGAAAAAAATGAAGAGAAGAAAAGCAGAACTAAAACCAGTGGTTGTATGGGTGGACTTTTCTCTCGAACCATTACACTTCCCCATTGATGAGAGATGTGGTATGGCTTACATCATGGGACAGTGTCAAATCTGGCCTATCCACTTACTAAGAATACCCAAGTGCCTCACCTTGTGGGAACAAGGATAAAGAGATTGTTCAAGCCTCTGGAAAGTAGGGACATAACAAAATTCTTAGGTATTTGGAAACATCAAACTAAAATTCTAGGTCTCATAGACCTGGCCTCCTAAATATTCAGAAGCAAGACTGAAGTAGGGTAGCTACAGCTTCAGACTCTGTGCCATTACCACACAATCAAGCTAAGTCAGCGTCTGGTCACTTAGAGGCAGAAGTCACCAGCGCCTCTGATGTCAGCTCTACATGGCCTCATTAGGACAGGCTGTTGAACTGAGCTTTCTAGCCAGGTCCCTGTGAGCCTGATCCTGTACTATTTGGGGATAAAAATGCCCAAAGGCTGGGGCTTCAACACTGCTGGAACACCGTGTGGCTGTAGGTGACTAGCTTCCTTGCTCTGGAAACTTCCAAGGTGTCCACAGATGAGACTGCTTTCTCAGGGACCTTCCTGGCCTGCTCTGCAAAAGTCTCAAGTGGCAACATCAAGGCCCAGACAGCTACCCTGGAACAATGCTTGGTGAAAAAGGTCAACAGGATTGCTCTGTGAGTCAACAGGTGGGACTCTATGGCAGTGGGACTCTATGGCATTGTGGCTGTCCTACAGGTTTCTGAACTCTTCACAGGTGTTTGTGTGCCTCTCTTACTGGAAAAAAGTAGACAGATCCTGTCATAGAGCCATGGAATGATGCCTGTACATGGTAAGATGGTAGAATGGCTGTTCTAGAGGACTTCAGTCCTGTCTGTGAAATGGTAACCAAGAAAGCAATCTACTTACAAGACAAAATGAAACCAGGCATCGGACAGAATGGACTGCAGATCCGAAGGTCTCAGCAGGAAAATGGCAATGCCCTAATACCAGGAAGGAAAGGAAAACATCATCCTCTTCCTGACCCATGCTGCAGGATCTGAGTGGAAAGGGGACTGATTGAGATTTGGGCAAGGAGGGGCTGTGCAAAGACCCAGCCAGAGCCAAGGTAGGGATCTGGAGGACATGGTGAAGGCAGATGCTCCCACAAATTGACTTACTTCTCTAACTTTTCAACCCTAGTCCCTAGCTCAAGACCTGCAAAGCCACATAGCTACCTACCATCCCCCAAAATGACCTAGCTCTCCGTCCTCTTTACTTGTGTTCAGGTGTTTGGGTAGGTAAGGCTGGTGGTAGGTAAGGCTGTTTGGATATTTGAATGGATGAATGAAGAGGTTGGTGATAGGGGGTAGGTGACTGAATGGGCAGATGAGAATGGGGAAAGGAGAGATGAATGTAAGGAACAACTGATAAATGTGAATAGTAAAATAGATGAAGATGGGACGCAGTTGGTAAAATAGGCTTACTTTATGCATTTATTCCTGACTTGTAACTTAGGAATCTAAGGCTTAGCAAGGATCTCCCAAAGCCCTCAGCCATCTAGCAGAACAGGGAAAGATAAAAACCAGGCCCACAGTGCCTGCCTCACAGGACAGTTTAGAATGGCTTACCAGTCTACCCACCTCTTTCACAGAGATACACGTGGCCCAGATGAGCACGAACATCCTCCCCAAGAGTTGCAGCCACCCCATCTTGTGTGTCAGGGCCAGAGGATGTGGGAGGGCCTGGGGAAAGAAATGAGGAAGGTAGTGAGGATGAGGAAGAGAAAAGAAAGGGCAACTCTGAAGGGACAGTGACTCAAACACATGTTAGATCTTCAAGCTGGGCCAAAGGCTAGCAAGAAACCAGGAAAGAAATTGCAACCCCTTGCCTCCAACCTCCCAACCTCAGCAGGAACAGGAAGGCTTCCCCTTCCCAGACCCCATCCACCCCCAGACACTCAGCAGGGCCTCTAACACAGCTTGATAAAGCTGAGACTCTGCCTGATGATGGATGGGAATCTGAGGCTCGAGAGCCCAGGGAAACTTGCCAAGTAACCTCCCTCCTTTTGTACCCCTGTGGCCCTCACAAAAAACAATCAATCCATTTTAGACTCAAATAGAGAGCCTGGGCAGGACCCAGAGTACCCAATTCCCAAACTATCATCCAACATTAATCAGCTAGGGCTAGAAACTTAGAATTCAGCCCTATCAAGCTCCAAGGATAGATTCTGATCTCTAGAAACCTTGAAAAATGCCATTTGGATGACCCCATGCAAGTTTCTTGACTGAATTCTATAGGCCTCAGCTAGGCGCATCTCCTAGCTTCTCCAATTCTAATCTTCCCATCCCTCCAGGCCCACGTGCCTCCTCTTCCCGAGGACGGTAATAGGAGACAAGCGTCAGGGTGATGTTGTAGAAGAAGTAGAAGCAGAAGGACAGGAAGAACATGTACTTGGCAAACTTCTTCCACTTCATATGCAGCAGTGTGTGTAGAGGCTCCAGGGTCAACATCTCATGCCGGTTCTGGGGGTGGAATAGCACTCATCACCATGGAGATGAGGGAGACAGTGAGGGACCATGTTCAAAGGGCCCATCAGGACCTCTCTGAGTCAGCAAGGAGCCTATGGCAGAAGGTTCTTGTTATTTTGCCAAGGGACTGGTTTAACTGGAAATGCTGGGCGGGGAGGCTGATGAAACCCAGCAGCAAGTGGGAACTAGAAAGGGGATCAGGTCTCAATTTGCCCCACCCCCTTCACTGTGTGCTCTTAGGGCAGCCTCTGGCCCTCTCTGGGCCACACCTTTTCACTTATAAAACAATCTCTGCCTTACCAAACAGGCTGCTATGAGGATTCAGGGAGAGCCTAGACAAAGCAGGCTCAGTGGTGCAGAGGCCTAAGGCAAAGCCTCTTGCCTCACTTCCTCCAACAGCTGAGCTTCTTGGAGACAATCCTCTGCCTCTCCAGCTTCCTCAAGCACCCTCCTCCTGCCTCCACTAGAAAGGCCTCTAGGATGTCTCCAGTTATGCATTCACTGCCCCTCTTGGGAACCCAGGTTTAGAGGAAAAAAGGATTCCAAAGCAGGCCATATAAACTTTCAGAGGATAGGGGAAAAATAAGACAGAGAAGATTAATACTCAAACGTCCCAAGATTCTGAGATCAGAGATCTCTACCACTTGGTCCACAGCCCAAGGTTTGCCAGAATCATCCCTGACCCTGTCCTGTGTGTGGTGTACCCAGCTCTTTTACTTAGGCAAAGGACTGGAGGATTACACCACAGGACCTCCCCGTGTCCTCTGACCCTGGCCAAGGCCCAGCCCTTGCTCCCCCCCAGCTGGCCTAGAAGACCCACATCGATATTTGTGTTATAGACAATGATTTCCAGAACTGAGTTGTCTGCTGTAGTGTCCACATTGGTGAGGTCATAGAGGGAGGACGACACAGGACCATATGCCCAGTCAGTGAACTTCCTGGACAGACTGCGAAGTGGCTTCTCCTTGATCTCACGACTGAGGATGTACTTCAGAATCTGGAGAGAAAGAGGAAAAGCAATGGAGCTTAAAGACATCAGCACTAGGCCAATGAGGCAGCTAAGCCAAGGAAGATGCTCCTGCCAAGGGTAGTTTGAGTCCAGCCTTTGCCTGGCACCACACTCTTAGTCCCAGATATAGCTCTGGAATGGGTAAAGAGACCACAGCTCTACCCATCTCACCAGGGACCAAAGGCGGTAAGACCCATGCTACAGAGCGCCACATCCCCTCAGCTCCAATTCTATGAGGAATTGAGAAATTTATAACTTTGAGGAACTGTTTTCATTTGACCTAACTTGCAAACATCTAGTTTTCCAGCTTCCTCACTCCATCTTCAGTCGAAGTCCATATGGCTGGTTCTGGTCACAGGGTGACACAGAGTACCATCCTTTATAAAGATGCCCATAGGACCCATTCAAATCAGAAATCCTCACATTCTGTGGCAGTGGATCAATAGGATTTTTTTTTATTTTGAATTTTAATTTTAAATCAGATCTCTGGAGGGAAGAAAAAAACTCTATCTGTGTCTGTGTGTCAGTGCGCGTGCACACGCGCGTGCACACAAACAAACACACACACACTAGTGCTGAGGCTTGAATTCAGGGCCTGGTAGCTGTCCCTGAGCTTTTATGCTCAAGGCTAATGCTTTACCACTTGAGCCACTTGGCTTTTTGGTGCTTGACTGGAAATAAGAGTTTCTCAGACTTTCATATTTAGGCTGGATTTGAACTGAGGTCCTCAGAGCTCAGCCTCCTGCATAGCTAGGATTATAGGCCTGAGCTGCCGTTCCCAGTTTGACAGATTACATTTTTTATAGTCTTCTGGATGGTTCTAATATACCAGCTGGATAGAGGGGTACTGCTCTCCAGGCTACTATTTCCTGAAGGTTAAGCCTTGAGTTAAACTAAATTGGGAACTAGTGTCCCAGTGTCTGAATCTAAGACACGACACAAGGGAGGAGATTGTGGAAGAGGAGTATCAGAGTTGGATTTCATACAGCCTAGCAGCATCCTCATGCAATGACAGCCTTAGGAGCCCCAGGATAAAATGATCTTCCCATCATACACCCACCTAGAAAGCTCTCGGGACAAGCTCAGTGTTAAGACTTGCTGTGCTTTCCATGCCCAGCAAAGTAGCCACCTTGAACATCTTAAGCAGCATCCAGAAAACTTTTCCAAGGACACTGAGTAAAAGGAGAGAATATAGTTGGGCACCAGTGGCTCACACCTGCAATCATAGCAACTCAGTAGGCTGAGATCTGAGGATAGTGTTTCAAAGCCAGCCCAGATAGAAAAATCCATGAGATTCTTATTCCCAATTAATCAGAAAAAAGCTGGAAGTAGAGGTGTGGCTCAAGTGGTAGAGCACCAGACTTGAGAGAAAAGCCAAGCAAAAGTGAATGTCTGAGCTCAAGTCCCATCACTGGTACAAGGGAGTGGGAAAGAGAAAAAGAAAAAGAGAAAGAGACAAGAAGGGTATGCATGCCTCCCATGCCTCCCAGACGGTTCCTCAACTTCCACTCATCCTCTAAAGAATAAGGGAGTCTTTTGGTCACTTTCTATAAAAGGCATAATACTCCCTGAGTGGAGATGACAGGGAGAGCACATACTACAGTGACATGCAGGGACAAGACCCACGGAGGAAGCTCAGCCTGCAACTATCACCTGACTCCTCAGAACTCACTGTGACCCTAGGGCAGTAAAGTGAAAGGGAGGCCAGCACACAATTCCATTACTGTTGAAGCCATTCTCCATCTACTCCTTCCCCCACAAAGCAGGGGAAAAAAAGGTCCTTTGTAAGCTCCAGCCTGGCCACTAAAACAGACCCAAGGCTCTCCGATCAGCTGACTGGGGAAGTGGGTGCACAGCTGCGCTTGTCTAATAGCTGCCACCTACCCAAGGGCCTCCTGCAGCCTTCCAGAAGCCACAGCTCCTTCCCAAGGCTTGGATGCTGAGAAACAGTCCATGACCTCAGGATCTGTCTCTAAGAACCCAGTTATGTCCTTGATCTTAGACCAAACTGTGATTCCAGCCACTGATGCAGATCTAAACCTGCCAGTCTGAGTCTTCACGAAGGCTCATTTTTTTTTGGTTCCTCAAAGCCACATCACACAAGGCATGAGGGCCTCATGCAACCATTCTCTTTTGGGAATGTGACTCAGCATCTCACCCCAATCAACAGGCTAGAGTCCATCCACACAGAGGAGCAGCTGCCCTGTGAGCCACAGGTAGTCATTCTGGAACTCCTGACCTCATGAGGGGTTGAAGGCCTGAAGGGCAGACATTCAGCCCCTGTTGGGTACCTCAACACATAGAACTAATCAGCACAAAGCCCATGAGGTGTGGTAACCCCTCAGCCCTAGAGATGTCCCAGTCTAGCCCCCTATAGGAAGTCCTGGGACAAGCGGTGCAATCATGGAGTACAGGACTGAAGTCCATGATGTGGTGTGCCCATCTCCTGCACGTCAGCAGTTCTACATGTCCCTCAGAGCCCTAGTCACCCCTGTACTATTGCATCCAGACCTAATACTAGGCCTGTCTCATGGTTAAAGCTGAGATATGTGTGTGTGGGGGGGGGGGGGGGGTGGAGTCTTTAAAAAGGCCCCAGGGTTGGCAGAGTGATAGCTGGGCCTCCTTGCCCTCATGGCTGCACCAGGACCCCACCTCAGCCTTGCCCATCTTAGCAGCCAGCTGCAGTGGTGTGAGGCCATCATGGTTACACATCGTCTCCAGTTCCCAGTTGCCACTCCTCAGCAGGATCATGTCGTACATGCGTTTAACAAAGTCGTTCTGGGTCTTGAAGTCCTCGGCCACTGTTACTAGTGCGTGCAAGATGTTGTTTCCCCGTGAATCCTGGGAGGTGATGTCCGTTTGCTCGTTCTCCATCAGCAGCTGCACGATCTCAGGCTGGTTGGTGCATGCTGCCAAGGCCAGGGGCGTTTCTCCTATGGAAGGGGAATATTGTGGCTCTTGGTCTTTCCATGGGCTAGAAGCAGTATCTTCCTGAGCCCAGGACTCCGCCTCCTATCTTATTTTGCTATCTTAGTTCACTAAGGTCCTCAGCTGTCTTTATTGGACAGGTGATCACTGTGATCAGCTAATGTATCTGTGTCCCCACAGACCCTGCAACACTCTGTGCTCCACACCAAGCCAGACAAATCCTGTTAACACACATACCCCACCTTTCCAGAATGAAAGCTCCAGCACAGTCCACAAAGCCCTACATTCCTCCAACTCCTCCCCCTTCCCTGCCTCCTCCCCTCCAGTCCCAGGGGTCTCTTCTTCCCCCAGCACACTGATTTGCCTGCCTCTGGGCCTTCTCCCCCGCCCCCTTCTCCTCCCGTCTGCCTGGAGATGTCTGTAACTGTTCCCTCATTTCCTTCAAGTCTTTATTCAAGCAGCACCTTTATGATAAATCATCCTAACTACCCTACTTGAAATTGAATCCAGGGATTTCAATTTTAAATTCACAGTGGAGGCAGAGAGCTCCTAAGGAGGCACTCCACGCCCCAGCCTGGAGAAGCTCTGAGGACACCCATTCGTCTTTGACTGGGAGGAAATTGGCTGGAACACCTTGCAGACACGTGACACTAACCGTGCCCCACCCACAACTAACGTGAGCGAGCACCGAGTGAGAGCCGCCAGGGACTCGGACCGGAGCTCACGGCCAGGCCGCACCCACCGAAGTAGAAGCCCTCGTGCTGGTGCCGGGGGTTGAAGAAGGCGCCCTTGGCGTGTGCGTTCACGTCTGCGCCCGCCGCGATGAGCGCGGCCGCGATGTCCCGCTGCCGCCGCTCGATGGCGATGCTCAGCGCGGTCTGTCCTGCGGACGAGAAGGGCAGACGGGGTGGGGCGGGCGGACCCGGAGGATGGGGCGCATGGGGCGGGAAGAACGGGAGGATGGGGCCCACGGGGCGGGGTGGGGCGGGCAGAACGGGAGGATGGGGCGCACGGGGCGGAGTGGGGGGCACCGGGAGGATGGGGCGCACGGGGCGGGGTGGGGCGGGCAGAATGGGAGGACGGGGCGCTGAGGGCGGGGTGGGGCGGGCAGAATGGGAGGACGGGGCGCTGAGGGCGGGGTGGGGCGGGCAGAATGGGAGGATGGGGCGCACGGGGCGGGGTGGGGGGGGACCGGGAGGATGGGGCGCACGGGGCGGGGTGGGGGGACCGGGAGGATGGGGCGCACGGGGCGGAGTGGGGGGGACCAGGAGGATGGGGCGCACGGGGCGGGGTGGGGAGGGCGGACCCGGAGGATGGGGCGCATGGGGCGGGGTGGGGGGCACCGGGAGAATGGGGCGCACGGGGGACAGGCGCTCAGCTGGGGAAGCTGGGGAAGCTGGGGCGGGCCCACCCCATGAGCCCGAGCCCCACCCATCCTGTGGGGAGCACCCTTCCCCAAAAAAATACATGGCGGGGGTGGGGGGAGAGGAGCAACAGGGGGCACCAGGAGCAGAAGGAGGCGGCATGGCTGGTCTCTGAGAAAGAGGGACACGTGGCTCCCCAATATGGAAGAGGCAGGAGGGAAGGAGGGAGCGGCAGAGTGAAGTGGAGGGGGAAGGAGGGAGAGAGGAGGGACAGGAGGGAGAAAGGAGAGATGGACATCACCCCTGCAGCCTGGCAGCAAGAAGCAGTTGTGACAGAGGGAAGGAGCCAAGCGAGACTGGCAGGGGCAAGCTGAAGATAGATGGCCCCACGGTACATGGCCTTAATAGAGACACTAATAATTTACACACTCAATCAAATATCTCTAGTGTGAGACCTGCAGAGGGGGATTCTTCAATCCCTGAAGTCTGGACAAGGAAAAAGGAGTTAGGAAAAGAAGGATCAGGACAGGCAAGCCTGAGGCACTGGTCTGAACCTTGAGGTCTGCAGGCTAGTGCTTGCCAAGGACATCTATGGCCTCCAGCTTCTCTCTCTGGTGACACCAAGGAAGCTCAGTGTCCAGCTTAGTGCAAGATTTCAGTCTTCTCTGAATTTCCTCTCTCCTCCATAGCTTCTTCATAATCCTTGCCTTAGCACATGTTTGTGTGTGTGTGTGTGTGTGTGTCTGTGTGTCTGTGTCTGTCTCTGTGTGTCTCTATGTGTGTGTATGTGTGTCTGTGTGTGTGCTGGCACTGGGGCTTGAACTCAGGCCTGAATGCTGAATCTCTTAGCTTTTCAAAGCTGATGCTCTACCACTTGAGCCACAACTCACTTCAGCATTTTGGTGGTTAATTGGAGATGAGTCTCAAGAACTTTCCTGCTTGAGCTGGCTTCAAACATTGAACTGAGAGGATCACCAGCACCTGGCTTCTTGCCGTCTTCGAGCATATGCATTTTTAATTGAGAGTTTACAGAGTTCAAACAGTAACAAAATTAGTTTCTCCATGCAAACAATTAAGGGCTTGAAAGATCCCACCTTGAAAACGTGAATGCTTAATACCTTCAGTATATCAGCAAGATGACTAATCATGAGCCATTTATTTTGCCATAAGGGGCTGTTTACTGTTGTCAAGTCAAATTTGGACACAGCTTACTAACTCACAGACCGGGAAACATTATCCCTATTTTTTTTCCTAGCCTACCTATGAAAGAAGCCAGACAACTAAGACCCAAATGGGATAGTTAATAATGATAATGATAATGACACTAATGGTTGTTTTGTTGTCCCATCCAGAGACTCTAGCCTAATCACCAGCCTTCTTTCTAGAGTTTAAATATGATTATCTCATTCCTACCTCAGGGCTCTTGACCCAGCCTAACTCTGGATCCTTCTCAGCATGCAGGTTTTGCATTGAAGACACTTCTCTGTCCATCCACTCTGCTCATCCTGTCACTGTATGTCACTCTACATTTGCTTATTTGCTTGTTTGCTTATTGTTGTTGTTCCAGGACTAGGGCTTTAAACTCAGAGCCTGGGTACTCTCACTTAGCTTTTTCATTCAAAGCTTGTACCCTAGTATTTGAGCCACAATTCCATTTCTGGCTTTTTGGTGCTTAATTAGAAATAAGAGTCTCACAGACTTCCTTCTGGGCTGGCTTTGAACTGAGATCCTAAGATCTCCTGAGTAACTAGGATTACAAGCATGAGCTACAGACGCTGGTTTACATTATCTTTTGTTTGCATAGCATTGTTTGTCCAAAATCAGAGCAATAACCTTAATCTGACTTGTTTGCTTTTGTACCTCAGTGCCCAAAACAATGTCTATTGTGGAGTTAGCACTCACAATTATTTGTAGAAAGAAAAAGGGGCAAAAGAGATGTCTGCTGCATGACATAAACCAGGCTATATGCTCAGGCTTCTCAATGGCTTTGGTGTCTCTGTCTGGAAAGGCCAGCAGTGGCTCTGCATCCTGTGCAGCCCCTCCACTGACAGGCTACCTTCATATGCCTCCTCTGTGTACTCAGCATTGATGAACCTGTCCAGGATATCATTCTCCTCAGCAAAGGCAAGCAGGATCCGCACAATCTCCTTGGTGTTAGGGTTGATGTTTAACAAGGCCTTCATCAGGCAGGTCTTCCCTGTGTCTGAGGCTGTCAGCTTGTGCATGAGAAAGTCTGCAGGCAGAGCCACAGGATACAGGTTCAGAAAGGAAGGGACAGCTTCCCTTATCCCTCCCAGCCCCCAGCAAAGAAAGGGGGGCAGCAGTCACACACCTCAGCATGAGGCTCCACAACTTCCCATGCACAACTTCCCTTACCCTGTGCTCCTTAGCTGCTGGCTTCTCTGGTCCCCCACAGGACCCAGGAGAGCCTTATTTGCAGCTTTTCTCTTGGCCCTCTGCACCTTCTCCCAAGTGGGGCAGTCTCACCCACAGCCAGACTTCTCATTGTCCACTTCAATGTCAACACCCTAAAATTTCCATCTTCAGCTTATTACTCCCCATGGCCTACACATGGTGCTCATTGACACCAGGCAACCTGCTTGTCTCCTGGTCTCCCAAGACCAATGGAGCAGGAGCCAGTGGATCCAAGTGGGTTCCAAGTGGGATCCAAGGTCTGGGTTCCCCCAGACCTGCACCCTGTCAGTGCCAGGCACTCACCAGGTACATCTCGGCCACGGCGCCGTTTGCAAAGCTCCTGCAGCTCCAGCAACAGCTCCACCAACTCCTCCACATAGCCCTCTGACACGGCAGTAAAAATGCACTTCTTCAGCCGCTTCTTCTTCCGCCTCTGCTCTTCCTTGGCTAGGTTTGCACTGAGGCCAGAGCACAATTTCCAGCTTGCTACACATGTACCATAGCCCACCCACATTCCCTTCTTCACCACAGCTGCTGGCCCCCAGGGGGGCAGCACTGACTCCCTAGCACCTCCCAGGCCTGTCTCCATGCCTGCAGTGCCTACAGGTCCTGATTTGTGCTACTCTATTAGGCTTCCCTCCCAATCTATATCCTTTTTAATCATATCAACATGTTTACATACATGTGGGGACCATCAGGAAAGATGTGTGCCCACTGGCCACAGGGATGACCTTGGAAACCAGGATTATGGAAAGGGAAGATTCGCTTTAATATTTGGAGTTGTGTGAACTTTGCCATTGTATCCCTGTCTGCCTCTACACTCCTCAGACAATCCTGGTAAAGCATGGATGTATCTCCTTTTGTTTGTATTGTATGCATGTATTTTGTATGCATGCATTTTGAACTTACATAAGCTATCATGTCCTAAATTTTTTGTTCTTCTGTATACCACAGTTTGAATGCTTTATAACAAATGGGTATTATTTTACAATTTCTAATATTAAATATTCCGCCCCATCTACAAGATGCCCTGCACATAATAGCCATGGCCCAGACCTGTGTCCTAACACCTCAGGGATGTTGACTTCTTTCCCTTTCCTGTACTGAAAGCCTGGGGTCTGACACTGCTTCTTGGGCACAGGGGGAAAAGAAAAGGGCTGGACTGACCTTGGACTGTTGGGATTAGATGGAGTCTCTGTAACATCATCCTGAGGAGACTGAGGAGAGTCCATGTCATCACAGTTCCCAGAGAGACTGAAGGGATTTGAGGAGGCAAGAGAGGAACAAGCATAAAAATGGACAGTGGTGGCATGCCATCACTAGGCCCCACAGCATGGCCCAGGCATACCACTGGTTGTCTGATGGCACTGAGGGCTGGGCTGGGGGCTGGTACTCACCACTGCCGGATGTTGGAGTCCATGGGCTTGGAGAAGATGGGGGGAGAGGTCTTGGTGACAGTGGGGTTAGGCTCGAACCCTTCTATCTCCAGGAAGAAATGTGCACTGAGGGGACACCCAAGCAAGGACATTAGAGCTTCAACAGGGACTGTCCACCTGGATGTCCTCCAGCCCTGAAGGAAAGAGTCCCACCCTTGGCTACCTCTGTGCCATGTGTCTTCATCTAGCTCTCATAATGACCGTCACTGTCATTATCAGCTACATTTCACTTTGGCTCCTGGGAGGCTCTGGAGTAAAGCAACCTGCCCTAGGTCACACACAGGAAAGTAGTAGAGCCTGGGTTCAAGCCTGAGTCTTGATAACTTCTGTCAAGAGAAATACTGGATGGATGAGCCCAAGAGTCTCTTTTATGTGTGGCCTAGTATCAGAGGACCTGCTGCTGCCTTCAGGTGTAAGGGACCCTTTAAACATGGGACCATCATACTAAGAACTAGATTGCCACCGCCAACCAGCTTCCCCAAGAACTCGGGTCTGACATCTTTGGGCTCTGGGAAGGGGAAAGGGAACACCACTGACTGTTCCATCACTGCCCAACGCTACTGCAACACCATTGGGCAGCACTTATTTGTTACAACAGCAAACAAGCCAAGGGGGCTGATCTAGAGCAGAGAAGACTTCAGAGATCAGGGCTAGAAATCCTCCATCAAGAAGGAAAACCCAAGCCAGGTATGGTTGTACAAGCCTATAATCTAAGCACTCAGGAAGCTGAGGCAGGAAGATGTTAAGTTTATGGCCAGCCTAGCCTATACATAGCAAGACCTTGTCTCAAGAAGAGAAAAAAAAGATATCATATCAAGAAGAAGGGGGAGAAGAGAGGAAGTGAAACAAGGTCTGCTTTCTCCTCCGGTCACAAGAAAAGAAACAGGGACCCAGGCTCTGATGTCCTGGGTGAACATGGGGAAATAGGGGACTCTCACTGTCCCAAGAGATTCAAGACTCTCAGGGAAGACATGATTCCCAGACAGCCACAGCCAGCCCTACCTCCAGTCATACCCACAGACACTAACAGGCTTCATGGGACAGCACAGTCACACATTCAGAGATGAGCCTTTTGTTGACACTAATGAGAACCAGATTGCCTTCACAGATGCCTCCCCTGCAGCTGGAGACCACATGACTGCTCAGGACAATGGCCTCCTGACTTCTGGACCTCTCTCTAGGCAGACAAAGCTCCAAATACCTTTACTACCATCTTCCCAGGCCTAGAAGGACCAATGCACTCCCTCCCTTATTCAAAAGACACCAGAGTTGCTCTGGGAATGCAGCCCCACCATATCAAGTCCAGATCAGAGGGAAGCAGAGATAGGATTTGGGTAAGGTTCAGGATGGAAAGTAGGAAAAGGAATGTAAGGAAAAATCAAGAGTCAAAGAACTTCAGCCGGGCACTGGTGGATCATGCCTCCAATCTTAGCTACTCAGGAGGCTTGAGATCTAAGAATTGAGATTCAAAGCCAGCTGGTGGAGGTATGGTTCAAGTGGTACTTTACCAGCCTTGAGCAAAAAAATAAAAAAGCCAAGCAAGAGCATAAGGCCTTAAGTTCAAAGCCCCAGTATTCTCTCTCTGTCTCTCTCTCTGTCTCTCTCTCCTCTCTCTGTGTCTCTCTGTGTCTCTCTCTCTGTCTCTCAGACATACACACAGTCAGAGAAACTAATCAATTCCTGATATCCAGGTTGACAGTTCACATAGATTTCCACCTCAGCAGACTCTCAGCTTAACCCCTTGGACTAAAGTAGCTGCAGAGTCTAACTGTAGAGTTAGTAAGCTGGTATGGAGTCATTGCCCACCATATGGCATACAGAAAACACCTAGAGCTGTCCTAGGGAGTTCCCTCCCCTCCTCCAGGTACAGGCGCTCCTGAAAAGCTCAAAGCTGTTCCAGAAATAGGACATATATTGGGCAGAGAGAAGTTCTGGGAATATATTGACTGTCTTCTTCCTGATTATTGCCCATGAAAGGGAACCTTCTAACCTAACTTAATAGCAAATCCTTTTCAACTTCTGACTTGGAACCTAAAGCATGAGTCCTAGTGTGCCTCCACCTCTGCCTCCTGCATGCCCCTATGTTGTCACTTTCCATCTCCAGGGCAAAGAGTTCTCATTCAATGGATAAAAGTTAGGCCAGATGATTCCTACGGCCTGGACTCAGGAGCCAAGGAGGCTTCAGGATCACGCACATATGAGCTGTCCTTCTGTAGTGGGCATCAGAGGTCTACTGGTCTGATCACTACTCCTCTGCACTTCTAGGTGCCCTGAATTGCCACCCCAAAGTGGGCCTCACTCCACTGTGGCAGTCACTCAAGGATTCCAAGTATATCCACTGGAGACTTAGCCACAAAATGTTCTAGCTGGTTGTCTCCATATAGAACCCCACCTACATTGGCAGCTTTTCCCTGACAGTTGGTCCAGCACTACCTTGAGCCCTTCTTTCCTATTGGTCTGGATTAATCAGTGGCACTTCTACTCAGTAAACCACCAACAGTGTGCAGGGCACTGTTCCTGAAGCTGGGGACATCATGGTAAGCAAGTGGTTGAATTCTTTCCAGAACTGCTGCTTCACTGGGTTAATGAGAAGTGGCCTCGAGGTGAAACCAAGGCACAGGGCAGCAAGGTCATGGCTTTTTTTCCTCTTCACAATACATTATTTTTTTAGCTGTCAGTTCTTCAATGGCGGAGACTATGACTGCATCATTTTTTATTCCCCAGAATCATCCCTGATTGTCCATCATTGATCCAGACACACAGAAAACCTCACTGTGGGTGTATGGGAAGACAGGTGATAAATGAAAGCGGGGAAGGAAGCGGGGGGGCGGGGGGGGGGGGGAAGGAGCAGGGGAGGATGGGAAGGGAAGGGATGGGAAGGGGAAACAAAGGAGGAGGCTACAATGCTTGATAAGAAATGTACTCGTTATCTGTTGCAACAATGAGAAGTACAAGTTGTCATGTCCAAAACGAGCTTTACAACGTCGGTGTGGGGGGGGGGGAAGGGGGGGGAAGGAGAAGGATTGGGATTGGGGGTGAGGGGGGAGGCTGGGAAGGGATGTGAAGGGTAAACCAAAGGAGGAGGCTGCAATGCTTGGTAAGAAATGTACGCATTATCCTGCCCATGTAATTGTAACCCCTCTGTACAGTATGTTCACAAATAAAATTAAATTAAATTAAAAAAAAAAAAGAAATGTACTCATTATCTTGCCCATGTAATTGTAACTCCTATGTACAGTATTTTCACAATAAAAAAAGAGGGGAAGGAAGATAGCTAGTTGGACAGAATAAATATGTGGATGGATGGATTGATTGACGGATGGATGGATGGATGAATGGGCAGTTCAATGGATGGATGATTAGTGAGTAGATAGGTAACTGATAAAGTAGACAGATGAGATCTGTGTACAGAACCAATACACAGGCAGATCAACACAATCTTAAACTATGAATGTTGAAACTTTGCATCTTTCCCATGGCTCCTACTGCACTCTCAATTGCCCCAAGCCCTCCCTCTCCTAAGCCCCATCTCCTTCTTAAGACTCCCCAGTCTTGAAGTCCTCTGTCACTCCACTCTCTCTCCACCTCCTCAAGGTCTCCTCCCGAGCCTACACACACACTCAGGGGCTGGACACTGTCCCTGAGCTTTTAAGGCTAGCACTCTACCACCAGATCCACAGCTCCACTTCCAGCTTTTTGGTGATGAATTGGAGAGGCTCATGGATTTCTATGCGCAGGCTAGCTTTGAACCTTGATCTTTGGATCTCAGCTTCCTGAATAGCTAAGGTTATAGACACTGGCTTCATATTCTTTTCTATATGAGAAAGGAAAAATACTATGTTTTATTCAATCCCACTGTTTGTCTCTGTGAATTACAGATGTTCAATAAATAAATAAACAATCAATAATAAAAAAGAAAAGAAAAGCTTTGGCAGAAAAGGTGTAGTAGGAAAGGAAGTCTGTGGCTTAAGAGTGTGAGGAAGAGAATGATGACAGCCAGCCTGGGGGCAGGGGAGCTAGTGATTAGATAAGGGCCTGAACTCAGAGGCAGTAAAGCTGCTAGACCATGATGACCCGTGTCTGCCCTACTTGCCACCACACACCCTACAAGCCACGTCACATTATAAGCACATGGCAAAGTCTTGGCCACATGACACGCTGGCTCCTGCCTGCTGCAGATGCTGATTGTTTATTCCTGCCTTTGGTCTAGGCCAAAGGGCACCACATGGCTATTGTTAGCTCTAGTACACAGATAGCTCTACCCCATTTCTTCATTTCTGTCCCTTTACATGTGGGAAAACTCTAGGATTGGGAAACAATCCTAGAGCTGAGAAGGAGATTAACTGGATGCCTGTTTATCCCAAGAAATGGCTGAGTTCTGAGTTCTTCAAGATAGGCTCCTCCATATATTCCATCAGCCTAAGTCTCTGATCCTGAATATCCCTTGCCTATGGAACCCTCACCAGCAGCTACTCCCAGGGAAAGATATGATGTTTGGACCTGGGAACTTTCTCAAGTCCAAACATTTCTCCCCACTTTAGACTGAGTAACTAGGCCAGTCAGCCATTGAATCAGTAAACTCAACCTGGAGCCAAGTTCATGAACGCAGATGGATTCAAAAAGTACATCTAGGGGCTGGGAAGGTGGCTCAGTGGTAGAGCGCTTGCCTTGCATGCAGGAGGCCCTGAGTTCAATTCCTCAGCACCACATGAGCAGAAAAAAAAGCCAGAAGTGGCGCTGTGGCTCAAGTGGTAGAGCACTAGCCTTGAGCTGAAGAGCTGAGGGACAGTGCCCAGGCCCAGAGTTCAGGCCCCATGACTGGACCCTCCCCCCCCCAAAAAAAAGTACATCTAAACTATTCCTGCTGTGAAAAACCTGAGATTTTCCTAAGATCCAGTCCTCATTTCTCCCCCCTGGCACAGTTCAGAGATGTTTCTGTTCGTTCCTTCTAGGCTGTCCACAAGACACCTGTCTCATCACTGTCTCCTCCCACATTCCTCCTTCCACCCTAATGTCCCTCATTCAGCTCTTAGTCAAATTTTCCTACTTGGGGCTGGGAAGGTGGCTCAGTGGTAGAGCGCTTGCCTTGCATGCATGAGGCCCTGGGTTCGATTCCTCAGCACCACATAAGCAGAAAAAGCCGGAAGTGGTGCTGTGGCTCAAGTGGTAGAGTGCTAGCCTTGAGCTGAAGAGCTGAGGGACAGCACCTAGGCCAAGAGTTCAGGCCCCACAACCAACAAAAAAAAATTCCTACTTATACTTGGCTTTTCCTAATTTTTCTCCTTATCCTCTGATTGCCCCACATCAGAGGTGGCTTTGCAATTTCTCTGAATCCTCCCTCTCAGAAGAAGTGGGTATCAATTGACTCTTCTTCTTCCTTCCTTGCTGTAGCAGGTCTCACAACACTAATACCTCTGTGTCTTTGTGGTCAGGGATGTAGAGGGGGCCCGGAACTCATCACCTACCCCTTGGACTTCCCAACAGACTCCTCTTCTGCAATACATTCTCCACAAAGATAAAAATTCAAATCTTACCATATTTTCCCTCCCACACAAACTCCATTAATGGCTCACTCCTCTTGTGATTGTCCAAGTTTCTTTTTTTCTTTTTTGTTTTGTCAGTCATGGGGCTTGGACTCTGGGCCTGGGCGCTGTCCTTGAGCTCTTTAACTCAAGGCAAGTGCTCTACTGCTTGAGCCACAGAGCCACTTCTGGTTTTTTGGTGGTTTATTGGAGATAAGAGTCTCAAGGCCATTTCTGCCCGAGCTGACTTTGAACTATAGTCCTCAGATCTCAGCCTCCTAAGTATCTAGGATTACAGGCACGAGCCACCGGTGCCCGGCTTAAGTTTCTTAACTGACCACCAGGAATTATGAGTTATGTTAGATTGTCTAGAACAACAGCTCTTAGACTGTGCGTAACCTATACCCCATTCTGTTTTTTAAAGCAATACTTTTAAACTACTCCATTTTGAGTATAAGCACCAAAACAGAGTAGACTTTACATTTTGTTTATGCAGTTAAACCACTACCACCTGTCAGCACACCATGAGACACAAACTGATAGTTTATCTGTACCAATAAACAATTACATTAACAAATATATCAACTCATTTCCCATTTCACAATGTGCAGCAAGTAGACCAAGACTGCCCCCTTCCTCTGGGATGGACCACAGAGCCAGCAGCATGGTAGCCCTCTCCCAAGACAAGATTGCTGGGGGCAACAAGTTCTGTCACAACTGTCTCCCATGGTAAATTAAAGCTGCTATAGCCAGTTAAGTCACTGTCCATAACTCTAGCTTCACTCCCTGCCTCTCTAGGCAAGGTAGAGAAGTCGAGTACCTGGGAAATATATTGGGGTACAAAGAAAGCTGGTGTTTGGGGGAGATGGGAATACATCTATTCTCATTGCTAGAGACTATGTTTGGTGGTATTGTGGGGGACTTTTCTGGTCAAATGGAGTAGAATCTGTACTTTAGTTCAAGTGGCTATCCCCTTTACTCTGGCATTTCAAAAACCCAAAGATCTCAACTGGGCAATGTTGCTTAAGCCTGTGATCCTAGCTACTCAGGAGGCTGAGATCTGAGGATCAAAGTTTGAAGCCAGCCTGTGCAGTAAAGTCCATGAGCCTCTTATCTCCAATAAACTACTCAGAAAAAGCCAGAAGTGGTGTTGTGGCTCAAGTGGTAGAGTGCTAGCCTTGAGCACAAAGAGGCTCAGGGAAAGTGCCTGGGCCCTGAGCTCAAGTTCAAGGAAAAAAAAGCCCTCAACAACAGACCCAGTGATTTATGTTCCTTCCTCACCTGAATCATATAAACTAGGACTGGGACAGAGTGGCAAACACTGACCCAGCTTCAGATGGTCTGGCACAAGTACCCAGGACAGGTGTGACCTTTGTCTGGGATGCAGGCACAGCTTGACCTGTGATGGCTCAGTGACTGAGCACTTTGCTAGTTTCATCTAACCACCTGTGAAGACTCTGTTTACCTCTGAATCCACCCTCTGCTCAAGTCTTAGACTGGAAGCCTGCAGCCACTGACACTATTTACTAGCCATCCTCTCATTTCCATATTATAGTAATGTGTACAGAGTGATCTGAGCATTCATATTAGTAATCAAGACTGAAATAAAGAGATCCTGAATTGCTAGCAGCCTAAGCTATCAAGTGAATTCAGGGGTACTTGGTGAATTAATGCCAACCAAATTGGTGTAACTTGTGAATCTGCTGTTACTTGTGAATTTGTTGTTATTCATAAAATTCTGACTTTGCAGAAAGACACAAGCATGTCTATCTATCTACATTTCTGACATAGCAAGACTGGCATAACAGGGTTCCATACTAATTAAAAATCCAGTGAATAAACAGACAATTGGAATATACAAAAGGTTTTCAAACAAATTAAACAATGTTAGTAATATTCAGCAGCCTTACCAAAGATTCCTGAAAAGGTCTAAAAGCTTGCTTATGACACGGCCTCAATGAGACTCATCTCCCCAAAGATAGCAACACCAAACTCCTCCCCAGGCATGGTGGCCAGCCACTGCCCCCCATGTCCCCACTGCCTTTCATGCACTTTCCCTTCATCTCTTCTAGGCTTAACATCACTTCCAGCAGTAAATGCCTCAAGACTGTCCCTGGGATTAGCATTGCTCTCCCTCCACATGCTTAGCGGCGGCCCTCACCTCTCTAGGTAGTCTCCACATTTTCCTTGGTGCCCTTTCCTCCAGGCTGCGAGCAGGAGTAGACATCCCTTCTCTCTGTGTCCCCACTTCTCCATTCTGGGCCCAAGCGTGGGCCTAGCACACTGGACACCTTAATTATACCTTGGGACAACAGCTGAAGGAAAGCACCAAGTTCATCTCTGGCCCAAGAGGATCCTTGGAACCAGGGCAGAGGACTCAGAGTAAATGAGACATCCTAGACTAGGGGCCACACCACATCTGAGAGAAGCAAGCTGGGGTGGCCTCCTTGTCTAGGCTGACCCATTTGAGAGGGCACCCTAACAGCTGAATAGCAGAGGACCAGCTGTGAAAGATGTTCAAGAGTGTGAACTTAATACAGTCCCTCAGCTCCCAGTCTCCTCTGTGTTCCCAGCTCCCAGGATCCTTGTGAAGTGACTGTTAACAGTTTTTATGCTAATATAAACCCCTTCCTCCAGCCTTGGGCTTCCAGGATTGTCCTACCTTGCTTTCTCCAAAGACATATTTCTGTCCCTAAACTCTCAATAAAATTGTACTTTGCACAATACTGCATTTGTCTGCCTCTATTTTTGGTTTCAGGGTTCATCAAGACTATCTGGAATTCCTACATAACTTTCTGCTCCTGGTCTCAAGGGTTGCCCAAACAATCCCTTTGTTCTTGCTACACTGACCCTGACACACAAGGAAGACTTCCCTGACTAAGCCAGTCATGCAGACATCCCAATGAGACCCCTGAGCACATCTATCCCCCGTTATACCTAGTTGGACATTGAGACACCCTAGATGATGTTAAGTCCTAAGTCACAGGAAGCAAGGGTCCCTGAAGGGAGACCCTCTGTGCTCCTCACCCAAGAGCCCAGACCTGAGCATACAGTCTTACCTCTTCTTGGTGGGGGTGAGTTCTGCTGGCCTCTTCTCTGACAGAACAACAGAGTTCCCACAGGGGGCAGTGGTTCTCCTACTGATGAGGGGCACCATCTCTTTGGGATGAGTGTTCATGGCTAGAATACAATCACAGAGGTCAGAAGAAGCTTCTGGGAGCTTCAGACCATTTTTTTTTTTGTCTATCCTGGGGCTTGAACTCAGGGCCTGGGTGCTGTTCCTGAACTCTTTTGCTCAAGGCTAGCGCTCTACCACTTTGAGCCACAGCTCCACTTCCAATTTTTGAGTGGTTAATTAGAGATCAGAGTCTCATGGGCTGGCTTTTCTGCCTGGGCTGGCTTTGAACTGCGATCCTTAGCTTAGCCTCCTGATTAGCCAGTGGCATGAGCCACTGGCTCTCAGCTAGCTTCAGACCTTTTGTAGTACCAGCCTGCCCTGATTCACATCCCCTGGAACGAAGAGAGTGCCCACAATCTTTCTCCTTCCCAAGCTTCCCTATTCTGTTTCTGGTCCTAGAAGAACCAGAAAAGCATCCATAGACAACCATGCCCCTCGCTCCTCCCTTTATCACCATCTCAGACTCACCAGTCTCCAAATGAACTTCTAAGATTAAGCTCTGCTTTCTCAATTTCCCCCTAAACTCTCGTGCACAACTATATTCTCAAAGAGGTTTGGCCTTGACAAAGCGGGAACATCACACTGTGCCCCTAGTAAAGCACCCTCAGGAACCCCTGATTTTTGGATTTCTCAGCGACCAAACGATCTCTGCAGTGAAAACACAGATCACCCTCTGCATCTCCCCACAAAGCTGAACATAACCAGTGCATGGCTGTCCATCTTCTGGACCCCCCGTCTTTCCTGGAAGAAGCAGTTGAGTCCCTACCCCTCCGGCAGAGGAGGCAGATACCCAGTCCACAACTGCTTTACCATCCCAGTATGGGCTGGAAACCCCACTACATTCCCAAGAGTGTGGAAGCACTAGCTGGAAAAAGGGACTAAGCTGGCTTCCAAGGAGAATAAGGAAGGCATCTTAGGAGGACTCCTAATGGCTACTGTGTGAAGTAGGGGCAGTCCCAAATGGGAACGCAGTCTGGGCCAACAAGGATCAGGCAGATCAGTGAGTGGCAGGGCTGGAAAACGTGGGGAGCTTGTGGTGAGCCCTGGCAGGGAGAGGCATAGGGGCAGGCAAGCCACGTAGTGAGAGACTTCAGACACCATATTGGAAACTGTGGCTGGTCCCAGACCAGCACAAGCAGTGAAGGGCTTAGGGGTGCATGAAGGACAACCCCTCAGGAAAAGCAGGTACAGGAAACCTTAGGGCCCAGGGGAGGCTCTTGTAGTGGCCATGGGGATGGAGAGGAGGTCAACTGGCCCTGCAGGATGCGACAGCGGTGTGCAGAGATGACGCTTGCAGTTAAGGAGCCCATCTCAGCTCAAGTCATCTCAGGGAAATCACTCAGATTTCCTATCCATCTTTGCCTGAAGAGAATGGGCAGCCTTTATTTCTTGCCCCAGCTTAAAACAGACATGCAGACAGAAAAGGCTAAAAGGCTTCCTTGGGCTAAGAAAGGAGGGGAATGGAAGAGCCCCTGCCCCACCGCAAGGTCTCTGGTTTCTCCGTGACCCGTGGTACAGGTTCTGCTAGCCTTTCTGTCCAGTCCTGGGCCCACCAGTGTAAGCAATCTTGGGCAGCCAGGGCAGGAGAAGGTCAAGACAAGCTGCACTGGGACCAAGCAGCTATAATTAGTTCCCTGCGTCACCCTGTAAAGCCTGTGTTCTCACCTGACGGCCTCTCTTGATGTCCTGGTCCTGCCTCTCTCTGGGATTTATCATCCTCACCCAGGAAGTTGATGGATGTTGAGATTCTCAAGTACTGACACTGATTTAAATGACCCGGGATATAGACTAGGCCTGGGGACCATGGGAACACCCCACCACTGCTGCCTCAATACCTTGGAGTGCCCAGGCCCTTCCCTCTCCTGCCCTAGACTACTTCATCCTGTCCCACACTCCCTGGAGCTCCTGACCCCCAGTAGCTCCTCCCTGTACCTGATAGGAGACTGCCCGGCAGCCTGGGGCTTTCTCCCTCCCAGGATTCCCAAACCACAGAGAAAAGCTCCTTAGCCCAGCAGAACCCAGCACCCGTCATCTCCCATACCCCTGCCACATGGTAGTATTTCTTCTGTTAAGCCCCAACCCCTTCCCAAGTTTTCTGAGCCTATCAGGGGAAAAGGTAGTCCTGGCTCAGAAGAGGCCAGCCCATGCCCAGCGCTGCCCAGAGGCAGTCCTGTGCCCTAGGAACTCACCTGGAAATGTTCTGGGTGATAGTAATAGTCCTTACTTTGACTTCACCGCATGTCTGGGGTCCAAAGACCCCAGTCAGGAAGATGGCTGAGATGACAAGAGGCGCTCATCCTAGACACTGGGGATGGCTGGTGGCTGCAATTCAGCATCAGAGGCAGAACTGGCTGGGCCACCTGAGCCAGGCACCAGGCAGGCCACACCCGCCACCCACGTGCTCTGCCTGAGTCACCCTCACACCCACAGCAGCAGCTCTACCCCACAGGGGAAAAGGCTGGGGAGGCCCCTTCCTTGGCACAAAGCTAGAGGTCTTGTCCCAACTCTTCCCTTTCTTGTATTTTATGGTCAACAAGTACTTTCCATCAAAAATCTCAGTTTTCTTAACTGAAGATGGGAATCACAGAATTCACTTCACAACTGTATCACAAGGGTCATAGAGGTGAAAGGACTTAATAAATCATTAAGTGTTCTGCCCTGGGTCCTGGAAGGGAAGGCAGACCCCAGGGTAGCCAGCCCCAAAACCTGGCATTCATCCTTCCAACCCAGCCCTGGATTCATATCCTTCAGAGACAGAGGAAATCCCCAGCAGAAGGTTGGTGCTTCCTGAAGCATACATCATGGACCTTAGTGTCAGACAGCCTCGCCCCTTCCTGGATGTAGTAACTAGAGCAAATCATTTCTCCTGAGCTGTCATTTCTTCACCTGTGTAATGTGCCTACTGTACTTTGTAAAGTACTCATGGCTTAACTGAGAGAGCAAAAGGAAAGGGCAAGATAGACTCAGAACAGAATGAACTCACAAAATTGTGACAGCTATTAGGTATTGTCATTTTTGCTGGCCCAGAGCACTACTAGGAAAGAAGATGAGCAAGGCTTGACTCAGAACATACACCTGTTCTGAAGGCAAAATGAGGACATGACAGGGACCAAGCAGAAGTCTTCACTGGGCCCCAGGCAGTGACTGACCCCAGTTCCTCTGGGTGAGGAGGCTGGGAGCTAATGCAGTGGAGACGTTCCAGCATGCTTCTTCAGATCCCCAGTCACCACAACCTTCCAGGCCTGGGGATGTGGCAGGAGTCAGGGGCAACAAGCTTCTAGAACAGGGGGTCAGGACAGAAGCAGCTTTTAGTTGTGGCTGAAGTTCAGGAGTGCCTTTGCAGATGAATCCAAGAGAGTCCTGAAGTTTCCACTCACAGCTTGAAATCTCATTGATGTGCCTGAAAAACCATCATCAAAGTCCAGCCTTGAGTGAAGCACAACCAGGCTCTGTTGCTCACTTGCTCAGTCCTGACTCAGCCCCCGTCAACCTCCTGCCTTGCTCCTGATTGTGTCAGAACCTTGCAGATGGGGCTGTTCTGGTCTGAGTTTTTAAGCTTTCCTTGTGTCCAAACTTTTCCTCATGCTCTACCTTGTAGCTAGTTAAAAAGATTTCTTATCTCCCATGCGGAGGCTTAGTTTATGGCCATTCAGGAATAAGGGACATCCCCTTCATCTGTGAGCATAGCAGGTCCAGTCACCAACAGAGGCACTACCTCATGGAAACTCATGGAAACTCAATCGGACCCCAAATGCTTAGAAATGGCAGCTCCATGCGCTAATCCACAGTCCCACTTAATCAACCATCATGAGAACCCAGCTTGAAGCCCTGGAGGGATCTGAGGGGGTCAGTGAGTGATTCAGAACCACAAGGGAGGCCAGCTCAAGCAGGAAACCCTGACCCATCCATCAGTCATGTGACAAGGGAGGCCTCTAATGGGGCAGTAAGAATGAGTTCAAGACAGAACAAGCATTTGGGTTGAACTTGAAAAGGAAGCATCTGCAAAGAGAAAAGCCCCATCAGCAGGGGCTTGGAGTCTAGAACCAGACTAACAAAGGTGTGGTGACAAGCCTGGAGCAATGTGTGAACTCAGTAAGGTGACTGGATCTGAGGCTGCAGCCAGGCTGCTGGGTCAGTCTTTACTCCTCAGTCACCCAGACTATGCTGGCATAGCCTCCCAAGGTACAGAGCCTGTGGCTTGGTAGTGATGCATTCGTCACTACTGACCCAGCAGGACTGAACCCACATCTTAAGCCAAAGGCAGTGACTCTAGCTGTCTTCAACAGCACTGATTTTTGGTCTGGTGAGATTCCTGACCTGAATCTGGGATCCTTGATCTGGTGAGATTCCTGTCCTGAACCTGGGATCTATCTGGCACAGTCACAGGAGCATGAATCCACAGGTCTCAACTCTTTCTACCAAGTCTTTAGGCCTTGCAGAACCTAGCATTACCTTTCTCATCTTAACTACCACATGCGTGTCCATTAGGGCTCATCGCTATGATCCCAATGCCTCAGAGCCAAGAGGAATTAATGACTACCTTTCACTACCAGGATCTGGTCCTGGTGTCAGCTAAGGGCCACATTGGATTCTCCTTTCCTCAGGGATTGATTCCCTTTTAATAAATGGATGGGCTACACAGAGGCTCTAGACGTCTGCCAGGATGCCCAATCCCCATCCTTCTCCCTACCTAGTCAGTAGTATCTAAGTGCAGAAGCTATCCTCCTGCCTGGCAAATGTCCCTAGAGGACCAGTCTGGGCCTGCACCAGACCCTGTCCCCTACATCCAAAGACCAGCTGACACCAGGCCCAAGCAATAAACCCAGAGTCCCCCTTCCCGGGAACAGGCAGGAAAGATGGTATCTTTAGGAGTGGGGCAGGCAACTGATCCCTCCACACACCAAAGAACACTGTTTACCCATGAAGAAGAATCACAATTCCATTCCCTACCTCAGGCATGGACAAGTGACAATGATGCGGTCAGGAGAAAGTTTGCCTGTTTGT